CTTGACTATCTGGAATTTTCAGATATTCGGCAATTTCCGAGTATGTCGGTTGGTTAAGCTTTTACTGTTAAAGGATGACTGCATGAAGCAATTTCCCATCTTCTGATTTCAGAAAAGTTCCTTTTTTTACTTAAATTACTCTGCTTGCAATATCTGTTAAGGGAAAACTGTTATATTAGGGGGACCGGAAAGTAATGTCGCTTTCTTACATTAAATTCAAACGAATAAATTTGTAACAAGTTTTTATTTTTAATCAATAATATAATCACCCTCGTTATCAACAACCTTTTGCCATCTAGTATGCCGATTTCAATCCCAGACTGATAAAAATCAATTGGTTTTTGAGTGGTTTTTAAGTAAAATATCTCGAGATGGCATTTTGGACATCATCCAAATTTTCAGTCACTAAGAAAATGTTGTAGGGATCGGAATAAGTGGATATCCAAGGGTGCGATATTGGGCGAATATGGTGGGTGAGGCAGTACCTCCCACCCAATTCTTTATATCTTTCCAGTGTTCGTCTTGCAGAATGACGCCTTTTCCGTTGACAATCGGCAGTTATTTTTCATAAAGATTGGTTCACTAGATCCAATTGTTCACAATAAAGGTTTAAATTAACAGTTTTTCTAGGTTTCAGCAATTCAAAATGAACAATTCTGCGAATACTCCATCAAACAACAAGAAGCGCCTTTTCGGGATGTAAACCCTATTAAAACTGCCTTTTGAATTTTGGATTATCATATAGGACTTATTTTTTTTGTGTCCACTAATCAAACGGTCAAAAAACGGTTCTGTATAAGGCCATTGAAGCAATAAGTTGCATGTGATAAATAGTTGACTTTGTTCTTTTCGGACAGATTATGGGGGACTCAAACACCTGCTTTGCTTATTTTTCCATTCTGCTTTAAATGTTCTTGGAGGGTTGACTAAGGTTGGTTAAAAGTGTTTGACATGGATTTGCTTCCACTTCTGCCCTTAGCATGTTGTTGTCAACATGCGCAGAAACGACATTACGTTCCGGCCACCCTATTACAATGAAAATTTAGAAATTGTTCAGAATTTTGATTTAAGTTAAATTATTTAAATATAATTATGAGTGGAAAAATAAGTTGTATTTATTTTTAGGTGCCAAGTGAATATAATAAGTATGGCTTATTATTATTTATTTTCTCTGTTTTGAACTGAAATTTCATCATTAAATCTTGTAATATAATTTAGTTTTTTTCCCCTCTTATTGTAAACTAGTTCTGTAAATTAAACTGTTATTTAAAATTTAAAAAAAAAGAATGTAATTGTTTTCCATGGTTGAGTAATGCTCATTCTCTCTTAATAAATACTGAATTTCTCATATTTTAAATTACAAGTCTAATTTTTCTTTTAGGGTTATGCAGTTGTGTATAATGTAATTAGACAGGTGCTTATTTTTTTTCATTAAAACGTGCTTGAAAAGTGCTTATTTTTTTAACTAGAATGTGGCTACAACCCCTGTAACTGTAGTAATATAAAATATCTTATCATAATTTTTTAATATGTAAGCATAGACTCCAACCTTCAGCAAACCTTGTCAGTAGTCAACGCGCGAACGACATTTTTACAACTTTGAAAATGTGCGCGTAGCGTATGTTGTAATTAACCATTCATTAATTTTAAATTAATAATTAATTTTAATAAATTTTATTACATTTAAAATCCATATACATATAAAACTGAATAATTAAAAATATACCTTGTAAATTATATGCACATTTAATTAGAAATTTTCTTTTAACTCCTCAAGCATTCACTAATAAAAAGTACTTCAAATCACTACTAATCATAGAAAAAATCAGAAGCTATAAATCATATCTTTATTCTGGATATGATTTCTACAGGGAAATAAAATTTAAATAACCAAGAATGATACATATAAGTATTAAACAAAATACGCATAATTTATGAATGCAAAGATTTATATGTAGCATGCTTAGCAAGCTTAAGTTCTGATTTTGAGAATGTTTTTTATAACACAGTTCTTCATTTGCCTGCATATTTATTTTTTCAATCAAAACTGCTTCAAGAGTTTTAAGACCTAAATTTGGTCGAAATTCCATCTGATTTTTTTTAACAATAGAAAAAATTCTTTCGCAAGCTGCATTTGAATGAGGTATTATTAAGACAGCAAGCATTACAGAAGGCAATACTTTGTATTTAATACACCCATTCATATTTTTTAATTTGGCAATTTCTCCCCATGCTATATCAATACGCAAATCTACAATTTCTTTCAAATCATCTACTTGATACATGGAAAATTCAATTTCTACTTGATTAAGACATTTTTCATCAATAATGGATGGAAAAGTATTCATCAAGTAAAGAACAGATGAAAATGAGACTTCAGTTCTCAAGTTGATGTCAGCAACTTCAGCATGTTTTAGAAATAGATCACTCAGTGGAAATTTATCAATTATATATGAACATGCAGTTACAAAAAAAGCTCGCACAGAATTGAAAAATGATTTCACTTCACTTTCATTCAACTTGGCATTTTTTAAATATAGTCTTGTTTCCGCACCAATCACTAAATTTTCATTTTCTTTTTGTTTACTATACTTCTGAAATGGAATAGACAGAGTAACATCTTCATTTTCTTTAGAAATTACTGATGGTTTTACGAATCTAACAAATAAATTCATTAAAAGTTCAAAAAGTTCTCTTCTCAATTTATGTATATAAGGAGCTTGTTGTTGCAAATTAATATTTACTGTTATAAACAAAGATAAAGTATTTTTCAAAAATAACAAGTACAATTTGGTGGTCGGTGACTGTAAAATTTTTTTTAATGTTTTGCAATCTCTTTCCTTCATTCTCACTGTTATCTGGTTTATCTCCAAAAAAATTTATCACAGCATCCCACTGTTCCAAAATCCTTGTTATAGATTCTAAAAGAGACAACCATCTCGTACTGCAATATTTCAAAATTTTATGAGATTTTGCATTCTGTCCCAAAATTTGTTGAGCAACTTTGAAGCTATGATTCCGTTTCGAACTTTTCTCCAAGTAAAAATATATATCTATTATCAACATTTCAATTTCTGAGCCAATTAATTTTTCAGTAGCTTTTTTTGCAGCTATATGCAAGAGGTGGCACGGACAACCTCAGGTGATTATACTTGGTTGATGCATTTTGATAAATGATGCTACACCTTTAAACTTTCCAATCATATTACTAGCATTATCTGAAGAAGAAAATGATAAGCAATTTTTCCATTCTAAACCTTTGTTTTTAAAGTTTTCATTTATACAATTAAAAATACCTTCTCCTGTATTATTCGTGCATTCTAAAATAGAAATCAATGAAGTAATTATCACTCCCTTTTCTTTACTGTAGTATGTTATAACCAATGGGTACAGTTTGTTACCATTGTTATCATTACTTCCATCAGTACTTAGAGAAAATGATGTACTGCACACTGAATTTATAATATCAGCAACAGTATTTTCTGCAAGCGTTTTCACAATAGCAGCAGTTTTGGTATGACCGCAGCTAAATTTTTTTGCTATGGCAGAATCCGGAAACATTGCTTTGAAAAGCTCTTTGGAATGATCCGAAACAGAAAGCGGTAGTAGATTATGTTCAATTAAAAACGAACAAAATAGCATTCGGCTTTTATAGGATCTTTTCATCATCTTTTATTAAGAAATTTGTTATTTCTTTAGATTTTACGGTGCCAAGTTATATGCTTTGAGAAAACACATGCCGTTTACAGTCATCTTTTCCGCCATGAGCAACTGAGAAGTCTTTGTTGCATACACTGCAGTGTGCGTGATTCGAAGAACAGAAATTTCGGACGCTTTAATGCATGGCATGGAAATTCTGAAGAATATGAATCTTTAAACTTCTGCTTTGATAATTTTGGCTTCTTCGTTCGAGGCAGCATTATGATTAAAAAATCTTTCACCTGATTCACAGTTCACAAGACACACGCTAAGCTCTCGCCGTAAACTACACAATGCAGCCTAAACCACGCATCAGCGAGGAACCTGGGAGACAGACATTGGGTGGTGGAACTATTGATAAGTCGTTAACGGTTGGAGTTACTGATCTACGATTGGCTAATTCTTCAAAACTAGGAACGCACTCAACACGTGATATATGATAACATGAGTATTCAGCCAATCATCGGATGAATTAGTTGGTTCCGTTTTGCGTACTGGTTCTCCTGCTCTTGTTTCTGTAAAATCCGTAGTTTTTTCCATACTTTTCGTAGCTCGTAGTTTTTCATGAATTTCCGTAGAAACTACGGAGAATCCGTAGTAGTTGGAGTCTATGTGTAAGTTAAGAATAAAAATAAAATGCACATGACAACAGCTTGAATGATGTTCAAAATTATTTGTCAAGTGATATGTTTATAACACAAGCTGTTTTAGCATTAAAGGCAATCATATGTTTTTATGCCTGGCAAAAACTGTAAACAACAAAACACTGTTAATTTATCTGAGGTTCTAATTTCATTTGGTTGAATGTACTGGCTGCGAGAGGTTTTTCAAATGTACACAGCTGTATGACATTTTCTATCAGAAAGTCTTTTACGAAGGCATACTTTTATTTGGTGGATAGCCCTGGTGTGTTTTTCAACAGTTAAATTAATAACATATGAAGGCTGGAGCCTTCATATGTTATTAATTTTTTCATGTCAGTACTGCTTATACATATAGTTTCTCTGCAGCTTATTATTAAAATTTATTTCAAATGCAACTTTTCTAACAACATGTAATTCTTTCTTTTAAATAATATTCTGAATCAAAATATGCATAAATGCTATCTCAGATATTGCAGTAACTAAAGTGACCTCAGAACTTCAGCGGGAAACTGTCAAATCAGTATTTCAAAATTATATTTACAAATTACATATTAGACTTTCATTTCCTTTTTATGGAAATTTTTTTTGAGGGGAGTAAATGTTTTTAGTAATTAAATTTGTTTTATAATTTTGAGTATGTAATTCCTTTTTTTCTAGGATACCTACCTTGTTGATGAACTCCGCTCCCAAACTGAAGGGATGTTGTCCCAAGATTCTACCTATCAGGGTGACAGGGCCTACTTTGCTGCATCCCAGGGAGGCCAATTTTCTCAACCGTATTGAAGTCATGGGTGAGCCTAGATCAGTGGACCCGCAAGCCACTGGTTCCTAACATGAAGCAGCAAAGTAGCTCATATCTGCTACAGTCGAAAGAGAGAAAAAAAAAAAAGCATCCACACTACCACATGAAACGGAAGGCGTGATGTTGGCCTCTTATTGACGGTGTTGATGTGTCCAGTTAAGATTCCTGCCGGCTGAATGGTGTCTACTATAGCCTGATGTGGACCAAGACGAGCGACCGGAGCATAGTGCATTTCTCAGGTGAATGATCCTGAAGTGTCTCAATTCCTCTGCATTGCCCAGAGGTGCAAGCTGAGTTGCCTTTCCGTCGCCTCTATTATATAGCAAAATGCTATTGGAAAAATTTCACTCGCTGGCATATTTGGTAGGGGTCTGGACATAATCACACAGCAGATGGTCATAGGCCTGAATCATCTTTACTTGAAAAATGTTTTCCCTTCCTCCATTTACATTTGTTATTTTTTCCCTATATTTTGTAAATTGCTTTTCTCCCCTTTTCATTTCATTCCTTTAACTTTTAGTATCATGTAATTGATGTAGTGTCCATTTAATTTGCTTAGTGTCTCAATGCTGTCTAAAAGGAAAATTAGTAAAGGAGTTGGCAGGGACCACTGGGCACTAAACAGTAGGACAGTGCTCTGTTCTAGCCATTTCATATTTTCTGGTTGAATGGAGCCATATAGCTATAATAAGTGCAGGCTTAACTCTTTGGGGGAAAAAAGATCTATAACCCCACGTGTGTACATATATATATATACATAAATGTATAATGATCTTTGAGATAGCACTTCTGTTCTAATTACTTCTAACACAATAGTGTGATATTTTCCAGTCAATAGTGTTAAACTTGGTAAAATATATTTGCACAACTGCGGTAAAATTTAAGAATATTTAGTTGTCACTATTGTTAAAAGACATTTTGGCAAATGAAAACATTATTTTTTTAAGTACAAATCTTTTTGCGAAAGTGACTTTTTTGAAGCGTTTTGGCTTTGTTTCAGCTTAAGGATCGTAATATACATGTTTAAGCAAAAATGTGAGAGATGTGCCTGTTTTTTATATTTTGATTTAGGAGTGCTAAATATCATAAATAAAGAGTATTCTGTAAATTTGTAATGAAATGGTATTTTAATTATTGTAATCTATTTTTTTTTTGACGACAAGCAGTATATAAAAATCGTACAATCATTCAGTTATGTTGCTGAGCTTAATTTACCATAAAATGCCCCGAAAGTATTTAAAAAAATTTATCTACTAAACAATCGTTTGTTGCTCATAATTAACAATAAAATGTAACGTACCAAAGTTTTGCACAATATGTTTTTAATAACGCACGTTAATTCATTTTAATTAGCATTCACGTTCATCATCTAGAACATATTTTATGGCAAATATTCAATTTTAGGAAGTTTTGATGCTGAGTTCATAGACTTTAAGTAATAAGCGACAACTTTGATGTTTTAGTTAATTTTATGTGCTCATATTTTTTTAAGAAATATAGACTTTTACAGTGTGTCACTGGAGTGATTTAAACAATAGCTTTTTTAAAAATAATTCATAATAATTGAATTTCTGGTGTGAAAATTTTGCAAATACAAATATTTTCAAAGTAATTTGTAATGTTAGTAACATTGTTTTGTTTATTTTATGAAACATCTCAAGACATTACGTAACTGTTCTGTTTTATTTGAAGAGAAAATAAATTTTCTATATGGTGCCACTTACTTTGGGTTGGTTCCATTTCTTCAATTTTTATTGTCTTTTATTTATGATGCTTTAACATTAGTGCTAATGAAAATTATTTACATTCTATTAAAAGTATTACCAATATTATTTCTATATCTACAGACTATACTAGTAATGGGGAGGGGGGTTATATGGAATTCTTCACAATTCAAAGTAAAAGAGAGTAATTTTAGTTAATAATTAAGTGGGAATCAGCTATCTGAATAAAAAAACCCGAAACACTATTTGTTGCCATTTTTAAAAGGGGGAAAAAAAAAGTGTTAAGTCTGTAGGTGTTTTACATTTGAGATTTGGATACTAAACATTTTTTTTTTTAATAAAAAGCTTGATTAGAATCTTCCAGAGATATTCCTGAGAAATTTTGTACATTACTAATTGTGCTTTGGATTAAAAACTAAGCTCAGTGTAAGGTACTTAATCATTTTACTGATATTTTAATATAAAATAGGAATTTAGAAAAGTTGTTACACATGGCTTTATTGGAAAGATCAATCCAAACATGTAAAACAGCTCAAGTATCACACAAGAATAGTGATAAATAATAATAATAAAAAAAAAGAACACTCTGCATTCATGATGCCCAAATTGCAAATTTGGCATATACTAAATGGAGATGCCAATTTTATTAAGATGATGTGCCATGTAATCGTGGCTGTTCGCAGTCTGAAGTTTGCCACAGTCTCTGCACGGGGCTTTTGACAAAACTTTTTCTATGTGTTTTGAATGTTTGGCCAGGATTTGCCTGTTGATTTTGCTGACTGGTCAGATTTAAGAGTTTCCATTTTCTCAATAATATGCTTTTTAAGTGACTCTGGAGGGAGTAGTTTGCTGTCTTGTGGCTCAAGTGTTCCTTTCTTTACTAGTGAGTATGCTATTTTGTTACCGTCGATACCTACATTGAAAAAAAGATTGTTGTTTTTATAAAGAAATTTCAAGGTTTGTCTTATTTCTGAGATATCTGGGTATGTGTTTCAGGATTTATAACTACAACCTTAAATGGCTGCTTTGGAATTGACTAGAATAACTGCTTTAGAGAAACATTCAATCTTTATCTTGAGATATTTTATAAAAGTAAATCTGCACTTTTTAAATAAATTGATTGTACTTGTCTACAAAATGAAAATTGCAGAGTCATTAAAGTAAGATCAGTCTACTTTTAAATAGTGTTATTTTCAAAATCTGTAGAGACAGACTGAAGTTGAAAATGAGGAAAAAACTGTCGAGGTTTTCTTATGAGTGAACAGTATTGGGAAATTCATGCTGTACCTAGTTCAGCATATCCTTTATTATGATGTCCACCAAAATAGCAGTGTAGATTTTGATATGGTATAAATATATCTGTTAGTATATACTGGGGATTCCTAACGTAAATTTAAATAAATGTTTATATTTATCTCTGGTTTAGATGTCAAAATCTGCAAAGTACATCTAAAGGGAAAACATTGATAAGATATGGAGCATTAAATCATTCTGAATTGCAGACTAAAGTCTTGAATGCCCTTTGCAAATAGTGAATGAATTTTATAACATTGACAAAAATTATTTGTATTGTTATTATGTAGCTGCAAGTTTATTTCCTGGCCTTTCTTTTGTATTCATTTGAACTAAGATATCTAGTTTAAGATTACATCTGTTATAAAAATATGTTAATTTTATTTTAATTAAAAATATATTTAATCAATAATTTATCTTTAAAAAACTAAGGAAATATAAAAGGAATCACTGCTTTTAAATTGGAATCTATGAAAAAAAAAATGATTTGCAAGTAAAATATGTAATGATGTGTTTCCTATAAATTTTGTAAACTGTGTTTTTTTTAATAAACGTAATATATTATTGATTTTATTGCATTCAAAATTACTGTATATACTATAATTTCTGGAAGAAATGCCATGCTGTTTACGTATTTAAAAGTTAAATTATCCATGTGGCATTTTACTTAAATATTTCCTATGATGTCATTTCACATAATTTGTTACCCATGTGGCACTTTACTTAAATATTTCCTATGATGTCATTTTACATAGTTTGGATGACCTTGTCATTATACATAATTTGATGCTGTTCTCGTTCAAAAGGCCAATCAGTTGCTTTTTGCAAACTTTATTTTGTTTACATTCTTTCCCTTGAACAGATGTACTTATTCACCTTAAACAGGTTCTCAGAACATTCCTCGTTTTAAATCAGCATCTCACTTCTCTGCCATTGGATGAATCTTAGATGAAATTTCGTTTCGCCATAAATTTCACTTATAAGCGAATTTTTAGTCGAAATTACCATTCCCTTCCCTTGTTGCTTCTTTATCCAGTCTTATAGCATCTTTATAGCAAGGTTGTCCTCTAGATTTGGCCACCTAACAGTACCACTTCTTTTGGCTAGTTTTGCCATATTATAGCTTCTGTGCTGTTTAGGTACCATTTTCGAAAATCTTACTTGAAAACTATCCCAGAAAAATTTATTCGTGCTGAAGGGGAGGGCCTTGCTGGTGTACCAGATTTATGAAAAGAAAAAATATTTCTGTGTGAACTAGAAAAACAATCGAGCAACAATTGTCAATGGACCAGCAGAATAAAAAAAAATCTTTTCTAAAATATGTGACAGATTTTATTGACAAATAAAAACTTCTTCCATCACGGATAATAAATATGGTGAAACTTCATTAGCCTCCTGCAAAAACTGTATCTGTTCTTACGACGGGGGCCTGAAAGAACATCATTTACATGTGTGTTAGCTTGTGCCGCAACGGTAATCATTTTTAAAACTATTCCGAAGGGAGATTTTCCTAATGACGTAATTATTTGTGCAAACGAGAATGGATGTGTGAAACAATCATGCATGAGTGGGTACAGAAAATTTGGCAGTGGCGTAAGGGATCCTTTTCCAACCAAAAGGGTTGTTGATGATGGATTCCATGCATTCTCATTTACTTAAGTCAGTCAAAGCCAGATGTCAAAAACTGCCTGGTGGTTTGAGAAAAATGTTACAACTATTAGATTTGTCAGTTCCTTCAAAGCTGTGTCCAAAAGCGGTGTGGGAGTGTTGGATGAGTGAAGGATTGCATACGGATACCAAATGTGGCATAATGCATACAGCATCTTATGAAGAAGTTGCAAAGTGGGTAGGAAGTGCATGGAAATCAGTGAAAACACCATTAGTAACAGCAGGGTTCAAAGAAGCTGAAATTATATCTTCAGACTATAAACCAAGAGGATGAATGTGACTTGGACTATTTTAAGTCAGGATTTGCTAAATTTTTTAAATTCAAATAGTAAAGAATCAGATTTTGATGATGTGATGTACAGTTTCTTTAATGATACGAGGGCTGTAAATTAAGTAATGGCAACATAGGTATAAATCAATTTTTAATGAACTTACAAGTACAATTGCATTACATTCCTTTTATGTAATCACCAAGTAAAGGTTGGCTGGTATAACCTTTTGCCAAATATCGGGAAGCCGTTGTAGACCAGTGGCAAGGTGTTGATTGTTGATGTGAATGACCGAGCGCCATACTGCGTGGAGTACAGATGAAACGTCATAAAATCAGTGACCTTGGAGGGTTTTCCTCAACATTAGAAACAGATCGAAGTCACAAGGGTTCATGTCGGGTGAGTGAGGAGGGTGTTCCAAGATTTCCCACTGCCACCTTTGCAAAAGGAGAGTGACATTGTTTGCGACATGGCAACGAGCGTTAAGGAGATTGTTGTGCAATAAACGTGGACGTTTGTGCCGCATAGCCGGACGCAGACGGTGCTGTAGAAATCGACAATGGTAATCTGCGTTGACAGTTAGTCCTTCAGGTACAGCATGTGTAAGAATCACACAGTCCCAGTGATATGCCATAATCAGCATAACCTTCACCCGACTGGGTTCCTGTCGAAATTTCTGTGGATGCGGCAAATCTTGGTGACGCCATTAATTTGATTGACACTTTAATTCAGGCTCATAGGCTCGTGCCCATGTCTCATCAATGGCGACAATACGCTGCAAAAATGTGTCTCCTTCATTGCGGTATCTCTCCAAGTGGGTGCCAACCAGTGCATACCGGTGCCATTTCTGTACTTCGGTTAGTCGCTGTGGAACCCAGCGGGAAGCAATTTTCCTCATGTTGGGAGATTTCTTCATTATGCACCACACCGTTTGATGACTCAGACCAACCTCTATGGTAAGGAGACTGCTCCCCAGATGTCAATCTGCTCCTGAGGAATGGAGGGCCGTCCTGTGCATTGCAAATCCGCAGTCTCATTCTGACCCGAACGAATTGCTTGAACCCATCCTGTACGGTAAAGCATTTGTGCACAGGCTTCCACTAATCCTCGATAGCATTCTGTTGCATTTTTGCCAAGGGCAACCTCGATTTTAAGCCACGACCGCTGATCACCAATTTGAAAATGCTTTTTGAGTGATGGAAATGAAACTCCTCACTTTAACGTCACACAACAACTACCCTTCTAAGTAGATCGACTGTTTTTTTGCACTCTATACATCGACAACAGCACAACCTCACCGCTCCCATAACCTATTTGCGCATGCCCGCCCTTCTGCGAGTTTTAAGGTTAAGTTGCCACTATTTAATTTACAACCTCTGTATGTACTGTATCATATCGTAAACAGTTTGCTTGAATTCTTTTTGTAAGTAAAATTCACAATTTCTTTCTGTCATCCAAATTTAATATCTTGTTGTTGTGATATTTTTTATAATATAGTACGAGTATTACAAATATGGACTTCTTTAGTGGGTAATATAAGTATATTCGTGAACGTAAGTATATTTTCAAAATTTCTTACCTATAATTTACTTTTGAGTTATGGTTTCATTTCATGCATTTTTCTTAACTGATATGTCATATATCAGTTATCAGGACATAGGTCAAGATTTTGTGTCTTTAAGGGCATGACAATGTTGCAATTTAATTTATTGTGGCCTGTGTAATTTTAGTCCCCCCCCACCATTTTTCTTGAGTGCGGCATTTACACTGTGTGGCCTTTCTTCTGGAAATTACGGTATCATCTTCAAGATTAGTAAATTAGAGTAGTGCTATTAAAGGCCTCATCTCCTATGCAAGCACTGAAGATTATACTTCTTTAAAAAAAGAGAAATTTAATAAAAAAGCGATATACATTAAGATATAATTTTACACACATGCATTAAACCTTTTAAATTAAAAGTCTGAATTTTTTATCAGTGTATTAAATCATTAGTGTAGAAATTTTCTTCCTTAAAAACTTGCATATTTTAATTTTTGTTTCTATTTCTCTGGACTTTTGCTGAGCTTCACAAAGTATGTCTTTTGAGATTCCAGCTAAAGCAGCTACATTTATTCCATAGCTTTTTTCACTAATTCCTGGCACCACATTATAGAGAAATGTAGCAGTATCTATATCTTCTTTGTCATCTGGAAATAAAAGACTAGTGTTATGCTACATGTTAGTTAAAAAATTTATAAAATTATCAGGAAAAGTTACTTATAATTCTGGATGTTAGATAAAATTTTTTCCTATTTACAGTTTTAGATTTTGGTTTTGTTTATGTGATTGTGGTAAAGCCTCCAGGGCTATCTGCCTAAAGGACTTTGTGGAGGACTTTCTAAGTGAAACTGGCTCGTATGCACATTAGACTTGGGGAAAACCATGAAAACACCCATGCAGCCAGCTCGTTCGCGGAATTCGAAACTTGAACTTCAGCAATTTTACCACTCGGCTACAGTTTGAGAAGTACAGTCAAAAGTTTTTAATCTGGACTCGTTGGGACTTCGGCGATTCCGGATTATCGATTTTTCCGGATTATAGATCATCAGTTTAAATCTGGTAAGATGGCAGACAGAAATTATAAAATTAAAAATATGAAACCGTAATTTATAAAGTAATGAGCAATTATGATCTAAAAGGGTATCAAAATTTACAAAAAAAAGAAGCTTAATATTTATTTGTTTACTTTATTAAACATTTCTTTCAACGCGCGCATGCATAAAGCATACCTTACGCATAGCCGAAATTAGAAAATTGCAACCAGAAAACTATTTGATTTGTATTCGTGATATTTATAATGATGAGGAATTTGATTTAAATCATATCAAAGATGGAGTACATCGAGATTAAATACTACATTTAGTAAGGAATTATAAGCCGAATAAAATAAAAACATCTGCCCTGAAGATAACGATAGTGCTGACTGACAGATCAACTTCCAGTTCATTGCGCACGGCGCAGAGCAGCGTGAAATTGATAAACAGATTTTGGAACGGTTAGATAAACAAAGGATATGCCTTTATCCATTTTTTGTAGCAATTCATTTTTTGTTTGATGGACATCAAAACATACTTTCGTTTTCTAGATCCTTTGGGAGCTCCAGCATTGGAAATTCTATTTGACATAATCTAAAGTTCAAGCTTACTTTTATAAAATTGTTCTTACAGTTTGCAAAAAATAATAAGCCAGATCCAATTCGAAGATTAAGGAACAACGCAATCATCAACATTCACTGAAATAGATAATTAGATAATTTTAGCTTATACTGTCCGTTATACATTAAACGCGCACGCGAAAACGTATTCTGCGCTTGCGCAGACGCTTATGTGCAGTCGTAAATGTCTTGTGCGCACGCGTAAAACGCTTATGCGCATGCGCAGAAAGATTTTAGCTTTGAGGTCCGGATTATAGATCATTCCGAATTATGGGTGTCCGAATTAACGACTTTTGACTGTATTAAATAACCGAAGTATTATAAATACAATTTATATTAAAATATATGTTGCAGTAAACGCAAATTAATTTTCATTAAACATGTTGAAAGACACAGACAGTGTTGGAACATATAATTTAATATTTTCTCTTCTTTTGGATTTATCCATTTAAAATTACAATTTCTAAATCTAATTTTGCAGTAACTAATTTAGTTTTGTTTCCTGTTCTTTCTGAATAAAGATACTAATTTTCTATTTTTATTACTGTTATGAACTGAAATTCAGTCAAAATGCCTGACATTATGAACAGGTGGGCTAACTTACATAAATACACATGGAATTTTGTTAAATAGGGTAAAACTTTTAAGGGAAAAAACTATGAAATAAAAATGTAGTTCTCGTACAAAAAAGTATTAAAATAAATATGCTTCTTATAAGTTAATGATAAAAAAAAAATTTTAAAGTTGTAAAATTTAATAAATTCATCTCATGACTCAGTGCATAATAATTAAAGCTAGGAAGAAATGAAAAATAAAAATCAACTTTAGTAAAATGAAATCTAACACATAATTTTAAAAATATAAAATTTTTATACAGACGACAAGAAGTAAAGGATGAAGATTCTCGAACTTGTTACAGCAATACAGATTTCAGAAGGTTTTTCTACATTCTACAGGTTTGCAATTACTATTATATCCCAAAGTTATTTTAGGTGGGATTGACAAATTCACCTAAATGGAAGTCTAAAATTTTAATTAAATAGGACAAGAATGTTCTAGAAGAGAAAAATACTCAATTCTGTTAATATCAATGCAAAATAACATTAAACTAAATAGGCTTCTTAAAATGGATGTGTTATTAATCAACATTTTCAAACACAAATGAATTACTGTACCTTTGAAAATTACAAAATCTTATTTTATTTGATGCCATTTGCAATACATTAAATCTTAGAAGAGAAAGAAATATGCTATTTTTTGAAATTGTCCTGTGTCAGAATTCCAATATACATTAGTGCATGTAATATAAAAAAGAAGGGAAAAAATTGTTTTATACAATTGCAATTTAATATTTGTTCCTAGTCATTTCAAATAAATTTATTTTGCTATTTATGTTAATGGCATGAACTGAAATTTAGTTTCTGGATCTATCTGAATTCACAAATATGAAAGCGGATTTCACAGTAAACAAGAAAATGTATATAAAACCAAAAAGAAAAGAAAAAGGTTATTGCATTGCTAAAGTTATTGAGGCTAGTTGAATTATACGGAAAATCAAATACTTAAATTGCCAACATAGCAGGGCTATATATAAATGAAATCTATAACAGAACATGCTTGGTTGAGTCAGATAAGGGGTATAAACGAAACAATGAGGAAATCGCTAGAACTTTATCAAAAAACTATGATGAATTTATTAAAAGGTAAAATTAAAGGAAAAATCTAATGCTCAAATATTTATTTGGCTGGCAGAACATGTGCAGATTTTACTGAAGTTATTATTTTTGATTGATCAAAAGATGAAAGATCAAGCTGTATGTGTCTTTTAAGAGTTTCATAACACCTTTGGTGAAAGTGGTTTTATGCAACTATCTGACTAACTGTGTGGATGATAATATTAGGGTTTAAATTAATTAAACAGCTTTTTCTTTAATATTTAAATATTTATTGAGTAATTAAAAAAACGTAACTGAGGGTTTGATGAGATGATGAACGTTTTGTATTTTAGGTTTTGACAAATTGTTTAATTTCAAAGCTTTTTCAACAGAGATTAAAGTTTTAGGAAAAGGAAATGAGTTGTTGAAAAATTGAAATTATATTAAAATACATTCTTATGTTGCTTATATGCTGACACTGGAGATAATAACTACAGTATTAGTATTTACTGGAATCATGTTTTCAGAATTTTTGGAAGCCATAGTACAGAGAAGAGAGAATCTTTTATGTTATAGTTTGTTGCATTAATATTGTAATAGTTGCAGTATGTTTAAAGTTTACAAGCTTACTTTAGTTTTAGGTATGAATCTAATAAATTTAGGATCTGAGTTCACGAAATCTAGATAAAGATAATACAGTTCATTTTCAAGACTGGATACCTGCCAAACTGAGAAAGCCATATTATGCTGTTAGTATCTGTGTACCTAGCTCTCCCAATTTGCTGTCCAAATAGTATTGGAGATCATTTTTGTTAGCTGGCAGCAAATTGAATACAAAATGCAATGCTGAAGTTACAGCTGATAACATATAATCACTGCAACGTATTACATTATTTACTTATTTTCAGTTAACCAAATAATATTATTTACCTATTTTCAGTTTTACTTGACATGACATTCTGTCCTGTTTTCCAAGCTTTGCTATTCAGAAACAGTGGCCAAGTAACATGCAAGATACTTAATGCATAATGGCATATAGAAAAGCACTACTAAGGAAAATTACCTGAATAAAGGAATCATTGCATCAATGGGTCTACACTCTACGCAAAACAAAAACACTTGTAAAACTGCTGCAATTCCAAGATTTTCTATAAAGATATTCCAAGATGCTAAGATTTTATTGTATTCCTTGCTTGATAAACTAGTTCATGTGTGAAATGTTTTTTTAAGAAGTAGAACTCATACTAAAGGTTATTTAATTAAAATAAATATTTACTTACCTTTATCTTTCAAGATATAAGCCATGTGAAAAGTAATAACATACTCAGGCCAGATATTTTTTAATTCCATTACAGAAGGATAATGGGTGACAAATAATGTAAAACATTTAATCTGCAATAAAATTATAATAATTTCACAATGAATAGATATTATGAATAAAAACTAAATATTTTTTGTCAATAAATTGCATAGTAATTAAAATGGAAAACTTTTATTACTTCTGTAATTAGATAGTCTAATGTTGCATATGCAATAGCAGCACCATCATTAGTACTGGTGCCTCTCCCTAACTCATCAAGAATCACAAGAGATTTTGAAGTAGCTGAAGCTAAAATTTCTGAAGTTTCACTCATTTCAACCATAAATGTACTCTTTTGTTGAGCAAGATCATCATCAGCACCAATCCTACAAAAGAAACAAAATAAATTTAAATCCATTTAAATCAAAATTACTGATAGATGAAAGAAGAAAAAATATAATTTCTAAGAGTAAGGGCAAAAAAATATCAATTTTATTACTTCTGTGTTTCTGAATGTCTGGTTATATTTTACAATGACATTTTTAACTGCTGTATTTATTTAAAATGGAAATTGATTACACACAGATTTTGATTATAAAAGAATAAAAAAATTATATAGATAGCAAAAATTTAACAAAATGGGATGATCCAGATAATTCTGAAAACTTGTTTCACTGCCAAACCATGATGAATTAAGCATAAAACCTGTGTCATCAGATAATAAGAATTTTTATTTAAAAAATATAGTTTATTTGAATTATGTGTACACAAACTAAATACTCTGCATCACAATTATGTAAGAGAAAATATTTTTTCACTTAATCACAAGCTGATTTTTATTGCATTCTCTAACTAATTTAACAAAAAACACTTTAAAAAAAAGTGAAAAGAAATTATGTACATGCATGTAGTTAATATGACATTTTTCTAAGCTATCGTATTAGGAAAAAAGTGATACATATAAGTCAATGATCTTTCAAAAGAGAATAAGTTTCCTTATTCTGACAGATAAATAATGTCAATAAGAAACTTATTTCAGAAGAGTTGAAAATTTAATTACCAGTGCTACAGGCAAATGCAGATAAGGTAGTGCCCTTGCATACTTGAGTAATTCCTTCCGGGACATAGAGCAGATATGCGAAACCACAGTTAATGTGGATAATAATTAATAGCACAGTTGAGTGCACATTTTTTACATATTCAATTCATTTCTACTATGTAACATTGTCTGTGCAAGGAAATGTTTCACTTCATTACTCCACTCTGTATTTTCCATAGCAATACTCATTATGTTGTGGTTGATGTTATCTGTGACCTACTCATTAAATAGAACTGGGAAATGCTATCCATACTCATACTTGCCAACCTATGACACTAAAAAATCAGGAGAATTTTTTAAGAAATCGGGAGATTTTTCACTATGTTAAAAAGACTTTTTAAATGATGAAAATATAGTTTTTAATAATGAATTAACTATAAATAGTAACTAATTCTTAAATGCAAGCAACACAAAAATACCTTACACATAAAAAACATTTTTATTACTTGCATCGTTTAAGGAGGAAATAAAAAAACACTTTAATCAGTTTTCGTACAAATGTTATAAACAGTGGCAGATTTTGCTTTCTTTAAGAAAGGAGCTTTCAAAATTTTGTTCATAGCAATTGCCACGTAGGCCTGCTTTCGCTAATAAAAGTCTTTTTAATGTACCATCACTAATATTAGATCTAAATTTAGTCCTCATTTTCCCAACAACACTGAAAATCCTCTCACACTCTGCATTACTATGGGAAACTGTCAAGATTGCCAACATAATTCTAGACAGTTCACTATATTTTAAAATTCCATCAGCATCTTTCAGTTTTCCAATTAAACTCCACTGGGTGTCAATCCTAGCTGATTTTATAACTTCATCCAAGTTTTCTAACTGTAAACTGTTGTTATGCAGCTGTTGGAACTGTTTCAATTTTTCCTTCCTTTTAGAACTCCTTTCAAGATAATAATAAATATCAACAATGTGTTCATCCACATTGATTGGTAAAGAAGCTGCCCCTTTTACAGCTGCTAAATTTAAGAGGTGACAGGTGCACCTCATAATCTGCAAATCTGGATTTTCCTTTCTCAAGATGCCTGCAACACCAGTCTTCAAGCCTACCAATACTGGTGCATTATTGGCACCAAGGGCTAAGCAATTATCCAGAAAGACTGCATTTTCTTTTAAAGTTTTAATAATTAGTTGTGCTATATTAAATTAAACTGCACTTAATTTCTGAAGACTCTGGATTAAAAAAAGAAACAACAGTTGGATACAGTTTTGAATCAGTATTATTGCTTCCATCCGTAGAGAGGCAGAACGGAGCTGTTTTAATGCAATCAATAACTGAACTGATTTATTTTTCAAATCCATTTCTTTAACAATTGTACCTGTTTTGGTTCTTGCACTTGAGTTTCTCTTAGCGATTTCACTATCGGGAAACATTTTTCTAAATAAAGCTGCAGCGTGATCCGATGCATTCAGTGGCAGGTTGTGCTCCAGTAAAAAGGCAAAGAACAGGCATTCTGCATTAATAAATTTTTGGTCCTTTGTTTCCGAAGAAAAATTTAATTTTTTGTTTTTTTTTTCAAAACAACTCATGTTGTCCTTGTGTCTTTGTATACGCACATGTTTGAGAACATCCGCTCTTCCACCATGCAAAATCGAAAAATCGCAACGACAGGTGGTACACATCGCAAATTTATTACATTTCCTTGAGGAAATAATGGAAGGAAAGTCAACTGTGTTTCACCTTTCTCGCAGACATAATAAAAGATGATAATTTCTAAAACTATTTCCTGAAGGCATGTGTACTCACACAACTCAGAACAAAATGACCGAAATAACTAAAGAACATCCAAATAACAGCTTGCTTTGTCCTCATTGGCTAATATATGCCAGATGACACGCAGTGGAGCACGATCCCCACTGGAGAACGACGTTTCTGGATATGTATATGCTCTCACTCACAAAGCAGAAGTTATCTAATTCACAAGGTTTTGTTTTAGATATAATCTAGAGAAAATTCAATTGCTTTCAGATGTCCAAAATCACTTTTTTTTGTTCATATAACAAAGTATTAAGCCAAGTTCCATAAAAATCGTGAGAAATTTTAACAATAAGAAAAAGTCGGGAGAAATATATTGTAAATCGGGTTGGCGGGTGAGTGGTCGAAAATCGGGAGAGTTGGCAACTCTGCATACTCTTATATCTTAGCCCACACGACTTTCATTTATTTTCTAAACTCAAAGGCACCCCACATCATTTCTAGATGGTTGCATGCAATATAATATTCCATTATTAATGTGCACAAATCTGATGGTGCAGCATTTTGAAGCTACCATATCAATGAAAGGTCACAGACAAGTCTGGACTGTATTTTGGGAGACTGTAAATGAATTTGTGCTCATCTGCACCATTCTTAAATATTCTTGTATATTGATAATAACTGAAATATGCCAAAACAATGATATCACAAGTCTGTTTCATATGATATTCTTAGATGCATGTTGGATTACATTCAAAAACACAAAATCCATAACTTTAAAAAAAGACAAAGAAAGCTATGCAGTATTACTAGCCAGAAGAATCTAAATTCTGAAAGCTTGACATAATGAAGTTTTGTTAGTCTAGTGACATATTTTTCCATTTTGAAAGCTACTGATAGTGCTCCCCAATATCTGTTGCATGCATGAAAGCATCATTACACACCACATTTTTGCACAGCGATTTCTCATGAAACTACTCTTTTTAGATGACTATGATTTCTCTCAATTCTGAAAGCCACCACTGATTTCATATTTCGGAATACATTATCATATGAACAAAAGCATCTGATGAATTAGTAATCATGGAGTTTTCATAATCTTTTTATTCTTTATTGTATGAAGTTATATACAAGCTTAACTATACTCTAAAATGAAAACTTTCACATAAATGATTTTATGTGTCAAAATAGTCTGCTTACGTCATTCAAATTCTATTGGATGCCTTGCTCGCTGCCGTCAAAAGGTGTTCTGAGCAAGCAAGATGGGTTACTATAACATTTGGCTCGTTTCAAGCACCACTATAAATTTAAAATATTCCACAACATCATCATATACCATCTTGCACAATCACATATACTTGCTATCTACATGCATGCATTTTTTTTTAAATGCCAAATATTTTCGGGGAGGTTGAATTTTAATAGAAATTTACAAATTTAAATTCAGCTTTTTCTGGTTTTAAATTAATAGATGAAAATTCTATCTTAGTGTTGATTTCAAATGAATGTTTCTTATGATTCATTAAAATTGAGACTGAAATGCATTTCTTGTTTTCGTTATTATAAGATTCATTTTTATTTGGTTAAAGAAATACATTAACTGACAAGGTTATAATTCAAGTTTTAACAAAAAACAGATTTAAAAAAATCTAGAAAAAGTGAAAAAAGAAGTTTACCTTACATATATACCATCTAGAAGAGGTAATATGGCAGAAGTAGCAGGCACATAACAACCAATATGAGACATTATTGCAGTATGGGCTATCTGACGCATATATGTACTTTTTCCACCCATATTAGGTCCAGTCATTATCATGCACCTCTCCACATTCTGAAGGACAAGGTCAATCAGAAAGACAAGGATGGATTATATATATATTCTAAATAAAAGTAATTATATATTTTAAATTACATACTAAATTCCTCAAAGAACTAAAGAAAGATACTAAACAATCTTACGAATTACATAATAAACCTCATTGGAAATAAAGGGTTACTACTGTCTACATACAAATAAAAGTAACATTCACTGAATTATTACTTTATGATATATTTCCTTTCAATTAAAATTTCTTTTGACAGTTGAATGAGTAAAGCGATACTTATATATATATTTTTCAGGAAAACGGGTATTGCACAGGGTTTTTTAATTTTTATATGTTGCAGATACTGTCTTATTTATTTTGGCAATGCCAAAATCATATGATATTTATATGATAAATATCATATTAAATTTATATAATATGTTACAGTGAAAGACCGAAATTGGAGAATGTTGACATTCACCTGTGAATGTCAATACATACCAAATACGTCGGTGAAAGACCGAATATTTGGTTATATTCTTGTACATTCGGACCATCACCAGTGTATGTCGACAATCAGATATACTGCGGTGGAGGTCGAAAAGAGAAGTCGAGTCCAACAGAGTGCCGACCATGTGTCGCCAAATCCTTTGCTCTGCTGTGATTGAAGTTGCATAGCATGTATTTGTTATACTCTAAAACACTGTTTGTCAGTTTTATGCTAGATTTGATGGTACGCACAACGTTTTCTTAATTTTTTTTTATCCGATACCCTGATTTACGTTAAATGGATACTGCAGGGAATCGCGAACTTTTCGTTGAAAAGTTAAATGCATTAATTGCGAGTAAATGAGAAGACAATTGTTTTTATTTTTCTCTCAAACACATCTCTCCTCACTGGGATTGATTACTCCTTATGAAGCTATGTTTGGCATTAAACCAAGAAGAGGCATAGCATCGTTTTTTTTTTCCTGGCAAACAAATCACAAATATTGCAAAACAAATTGCTAATACTTTTGAAACTGAAGAACAGCTTAAAGAAACTGTTAATACTTTTGAAGAAAATTGGAGCAATGGCCATATTCCAAAGAAAAATATTGAGGAGGACCTGCAACTTACCACGTCTTCGTATCATGCCTGGACTTAACAACAAGAGTTATTTTCTATAAAAAGATTGGCCGCAAATGATAATCTTTTACTGCAAGCAATGAAAATGTTATGAACCTCAAAAAACAATTTTCTCCTGCTCAAATTGGTGATACCATACGAATACAAGTCCCTGATGTCGACTGTGGTCGAAATGTGTTGGCAGTTGTTGTTGGAATAAGACTCCGGATTTTATAAACTAGCAAATAAAAATTACACCTTCAAGCAGCTTTAATCCCATAATCAGGCTCATAATATGCAGAGAAAAGTTACTTTCCTTAGATGAGATTCCTTCTCAAGTAATGTCGCTGAGAGAAGCAGCTGCAGCTAATTCAAGAAGGCAAGGCTATACACGCTGTCACTGCAAAAGGAAGTGTTCCACAACTAAATGCAGTTGTAAAAGTAAGGGACTCTTGTGCAATTCAAAATGTCATAAAAGTTTATGTTGTTGCAATAAATAAGATTTCATTCACATAATAAATACTTTATTATGTGATTAAAATACAAAAGTGTTTTTTTTTTTTTTTGTATTATTTTCTTTTCTCATTTAGAATGTATTGTTTAAGTTCAAAAGTTTACTTACATATGATGTTATTTAAGCTTTTTCATATTTTGACATATAGGGTATAAATGCAAAAGTTAAAAAAAAAAAAAAGTTCTTTATTGGCTAAATTTAAAACTAAATGCTTAAAGCACGATTGCTGTCATTATTAAAAAGTCAAGTAATATTGAGTAGCCCTTCTCACGTTAGAATCAAAAGCTACATGTCACGCAGTGAAAAACGCTTCTATAGAGTTACAAACAATTCTTCTCACCAGGGATTGGTTACGCCTCTCAGCAAGACAGGCGAAAACGTTACGTCACCCTTGAAGTTATGCAAATCTCTGACGTATTCAACATTCACCTTTAGTGCATGGTGAATGTCGACATTTGCCGGTGTAAGTCATAAATAAGGATATTTGGCAAATACAGTACAAAGTCTTTAATCCGGAATGATCTATAATCCGGACCTCAAAGCTACAAACTTTCTGCTCATGTGTTAATGCATGTGCATAATACCTTTACGCATGTGCATTATACATTTACGCATGAGCGTTTAATGTATAACGGACGGTATAAGCTAAGCTAAAATTATCTAATTATCTATTTCAGTTAATGTTGCAGATTGCATTATTCCTTAATCTTCTAATTGGATCCGGCTTATTATTTTTTGCTAACTGTTAGAGCAATTTTATAAAAAATAAGCTTGAACTTTTGATTATGTCAAAAAGAGTTTCCAATTCTGGAGGATCTACAAAGCAAAAGCATGTTTCAATGCCCATCAAAAAGTGGAATTGCTGCAAAATATGGATAAAGGCAGACATATCCTTTGTTTCTCTAACCATTCCCAAATCTGTTTATCAATTTCACGCTGCTCTGTGGGGTTGGGGGGAGACGTCGGGGCACAATGAATTGGAAGTTGATCTGTCAGCACTATCCTCATCTTCAGGGCAGATGTTTTTATTTTATTCGGCTTATAATTCCTTACTAAATGTAGTATTTCATCTCGATGTACTCCGTCTTTGATATGATTTAAATCAAATTCCTCGTCATTATAAATATCACGAATACACATCAAATAGTTTTCTGGTTGCAATTTTCTAATTTTGCCTATGCGTAATGTATGCTTTACGCATGTGCGCGTTGAAAGAAATGTTTAATAAAGTAAACAAATAAATATTAGGTTTTTTTTGTAAATTTTGATACCCATAATTGCTCTTTATTTCATAAATTATGGTTTCATATTTTTAATTTTATAATTTGTGCATGTCATCTCACCAGATTTAAACTGATGATCTATAATCCGGAAAAACACCTCACCTGGAATTGCCGAAGTCCCGGCGAGTCCAGATTAAAGACTTTGTACTGTATTTCGGACATGCGCCAAGCGAGTATGTGAATTTTGACATTCTCCAAATCTCGGTCTTTCACAGTAACATATATATCATAAAATTTATTTTCACGTTTCTTTATCCTATAAAAAAGCAATAAACTGAAAATACAGTTTTTCTTCATATGCTTCATTTAATTTTTAAGTACTAAATTATTAATTATTTATAACACTTTACACTCTTCAAATGCTTGATTTATTTTCATAGTTAATTGAATTAATAATTACTATTTATAACACTTTATATTTTATAAAAAGTAGCATTAAAAACATACTTTTTGGCGATTACTAACATATATTGATTGAAACTAGATAGAAAATAATTTTTTAAAAAAAGTAACAAAGTAGAAATGAAATTATTAAATGCGTACAGCAATGGTCAAGGAATGAATAGAAAAGAGGTATTTATGGTAAAAAAGGAGAAGAAATTTCCAAAGTGCTTCATTCTGCAAAACGATACAATGTATTGCATAATTTTACATATCCTAACCTGACTCAGGATCTTTTACCGTCTTTTTCCGAAAATAAGACACTGTCTTACTTCCTTTTTTGGTCCAAAATATGCGCTAGGGCTTATTTATGGGCAAAAATAAAAGTATAATTATATATTTTTATTTAATATTTATTTTACACAGAATACAGAAATTTAAATTTATTCAATTACAGTCATGTCATCTTCTGGAAACTTGTCATAAATAAAATTCTGAATTATATTCTGATTTTCTTCTAAATCCATTTCCTGTTGAATCATTGGTCCGAATCTCTCACGTCTTGCGATATAGCTATCGTTAAATGAATACTTCTTGTCTAAATAGCCTGTTTGTTGTGCATTGGAAACATCACTATCAGTTATTTTGTCCCATGAATTTTTTACCCAATTCACAACTTCTTGTAAGCCTGGTTTTACAAAATTACCTCGATGATTTCTCACCATTCTGTTTTCAATATATTCATCGATTTCCATCCGCAAAGGATCCTTGAATGGCTTGTTTATTGCAATGTCAAGTGTCTGGAGGTAAACAGTCATTCCTGCCAGAATCATTATTTGATCGTTAAGAATTGAAAAGATAGCATTTAAATCCCTTTGTTCATTAATAGAAAGGGAGAAAGCTGTTGTGGATCTCATAATATATGTTGAGGGGGTAGCTACTCGAAGAAAGTGTCCCCATCGATTTCATATTTGAAAAACTTTAACGAATTTTTGTTTAACAAACTCAAGGATTTCAAAGTGAACGATGGCAACATTGTACAGAAAAAACATTTTTATCTCCAGTGCCTGAGACTGTGTATGGGAAATTCTAAAGATATGCTCAATTTAAAATTATTTTGACATGTTGCTGTTGAACTGAATTTTATGGCTTAAGTGCAAAGAACATGATATTTAATAAATAAAGGTAACACACAAAATTTTAAAAAAAGACCCCTTTAGACATAATTTAAAATCTGAAACTTTCTGAACCTTTCAGATTTTTCAAGTTTTTAAATTTTAATCTCTTCAAAATAAAATATATATATATATATAACTGAACAAATTTCAGCATGCAGCCATTTTCTCACCTTTTTACATTTTCCTCATTCTTTTATAACACCTTTATTTGTTTTAATTTTTGACTATTTTAAGTATTGCTTTTCAATTTTTTATTTTGCTTTAAATTTTATTATGTTTCATCATTCTAATTCTTTGGATTTTTTTTTAACACCCAAATTGGATTTTTACCATCTAATTTGGATAATACTCAGTCATTACAGTATTTTGAATTTGGCTAATGACTATATTTCTATAATTTTTCAAGATAAAGCTGTATTGGAGGTAGAATTATGCAGGATAAGGCCGAAATTCATTTATTATTATTATTTGCCATTAAAATGTTTTACCATGTCATGCGTAATTTCAGAAATATAGCTTTTATTTTTATTAGATTAATTAAGAGTTTAGGAATTGACCATTTA